GATCATATCAGAAAATTAGCACAAGTCTTTGGAAATAATCGGGTCCTTGGAGAGGCGCTGAACAACCCCCCCCCCATCCCCGCTCCCTTTTTCCTCAACCTGACATTTTTACAAGGAATTCTACCATCAAGGAATGGTTTAGCTCTCCTTCCCTTGCAAGGCTGCTAGGATGCACATTCCACTATCTGCTGGGGGAGAGGTTCACGCGTTAACATTAAAATTAGTTTTAAAAGCATCGACTTATGCAAAGGTGATGTGTTGTTGGAGTTTGAGGGGGGCATCAGCCTCCATCTAATCAAGGAACAAGCAATGGAGCATCTTCTCTGCATGGCGTTTAATGGAGGCAGGCAAAACAGGACTGTAAACTCAGCAACCCAAGCTGAGATTGGGGTAGCCTTGTGTCCTACTTTGCAGAGGACAGTTCTCTGTTTGATAGGCGGTCCTCCCCAATACTGCTTTAGAGATGAAGCCACCTAAGAAGGGAGAGCAAAGGGACACGGGTGGCGCTGTGGACACAGAGCCTAGGACTTGCCGATCAGAAGATCGGCGGTTCGAATCCCCGCGACGGGGTGAGCTCCCGTTGCTTGGTCCCTGCTCCTGCCAACCTAGCAGTTCGAAAGCACGTCAAAGTGCAAGTAGATAAATAGGTACTGCTCCGGTGGGAAGGTAAACAGCGTTTCCGTGCACTGCTCTGGTTTGCCAGAAACAGTTTAGTCATGCTGGCCACATGACCGGGAAGCTGTACGCCGGCTCCCTCAGTCAATAAAGCGAGATGAGCACTGCAACTCCAGAGTCGGACACAATGGTCAGGGGTCCCTTAACCTTTACCTTTACTTTTAAGAAGGGAGAGCAGGAGGGGCTGTTAGTAGTGAGCTCCTCAGCAGTAGTCTGAGCTGCCACACACTTCCCCTGGTCATGTCCCTTACTCTTATGTAGTTCTATTTTAAAATTATAACGTTGTATCCAGCTAAGTTCTACTGCAAAATTATAACGTTGTATCCAGCTAAGTTCTACTGCAGTTAATGGACATAGGTTAGTATTGGGTCTGTTCATCCAATCTAATACAGTGGTACCTCTGGATACGAATGGGATCCGTTCCGCAGCCCTGTTCGCATCCTGAAGTAAACGTAAGATGCGACTGCGCGTCTGCGCGTGCACAGGTCGCATTTCGCCGCTTCCGCGCATGCGCATGACATCATTTTGAACGCATGCATGTGTGGTGAAACCAGGAAGTAATGCGCTCCGTTACTTTCGGGTCACCACGGAGCGCAACCCGAAAATACTTAACTTGAAGCTCCTTCAACCTGAGGTATGACTGTATGTACAACTGCTGCCCCCCCCATCACCTCCACCACCAAGGTTACAATTCCTGCACTTCCTCAAAGATGCATCAGAATTTTGGATTCCTAGGGCAGATGTTCAGGGTCCAAACGGGCTTTCTCACATTACCTTAAGCCTTATAAGCGTATGCTGGCACTCCAAAGCTGCAACATGAGCCAAGGGAACAACTTGTCAAGTGCTATTTCCTCACACAGCAGGGCCCCTGCACATGTTGGAAAAGATTCCCAAAACATGGTGTGGCATTGCTTTCCAAGAGTGCTCATGCTTGCCTTTCTGTACAGCAATCACTATTGGAATAATGTGAGCCAAAATAATGTGAGCCAAAGACACAAAGTTCAGAGCAGTCATTCGCCAAGACAACAATGCCCATTTACACCACAAAGAACTCATAACCCACCTACTTTCAACAGCCAGAAACCCCATAACCAGACACTGGAGAGACCTGTCAGGAGTAAGCATGGACCAATGGTACCAAATAGTATGGGAAACAGCCTTACTAGAAAAATTAACCAATAAACTGAAACTGACATGGGGACAAACAGGAGAAGATGCCTTCACCCCAGTATGGCTCCCCTTTATCACATACACAGCCCAACAAGACAATGACAAAAATCCACCAACAGCATACAAATCAGTATGGCTAACCTGATCCAAAACACCCACCCACCCAACTCACACATGAAAACAAAGATCACCACAGCCAATCACAAACAAACAACCACACACTAGGCCAACTCCAACCTCTCTCACCACCAAAGGAACACAAGTGAATAGTAGAGAACCTGCACAAGCAACACTGACACCAAACCCCACATATATTAAGTATAATAGAAACATCGCCACCGGATTCCACCCCCACTCACCCCCCTAGACCTCTTTCCCCCTCTTCTTCCTAATGTCTCAACAAATGAAACTGACCTGTAAAAAATGTTACTTGGGAAAAAACAGACATTGCACAAACTTTTGTAAACCAAGAAAATCTTTAATAAAAATACATTTTTTTAAAAAAAGAAAAGAGCAGTCATTTGCAACTCCTATTAGCCTCTGGTCCTAATGAGGGAGGATAACCTATCAGAGTCCTATGAGGGCTCAGCCTAGTCCCACCACAAGAGGACTTCATTTTCCTAAGCAAGGAGTTCAGTTTTTCACTACGTTCGCCAGTTTAAGTGAACAGTGCACTGTGTATCTACTGATTGCCCTTGTGCTTTTGACAGTTGCGTGACAAGAAGAAATTTAGCAGCTGAAGCTTTCCCTTTACCATTCATCTCAAGACCAGGAGAAATGTTTTACCTGCTGAATTTTTAGCTTGCCCTATAGTTTTTTTAATGACCCAAGAGTCCCGCTGGACAAAAAAGCTAGTAACTCTTTTATAGATTATGCTTAGTTTTGAGTTTAATCCAAATTATGGCTCCTGTCATTATTTCCATGCAAATTATATTTATTTATTTATTTTGGATCAACACCAGATGCAGGACCTCCACTCCCAGTCCAAGGGGAAGGGGCTTGCTGATAGTAGTTGGTGAACTCCTATGAACTTTGTGCATCAGGTATGCTTAAGAGAAGCATCTTCTCCAGTTCGCTCTTAAGATTGCTACAAGCTACACCTTTGATGCCCATCAATTTTCTTTTCGTGATATATTTCTCCCTGCCCCCTTCTTTCTTCCTGTTTTGTTTTTTCCCCCTTAAAGTTCAGTCTGAGGAAGAGTTTCTGGTGAAATCAAAAGCCTGCTCATTTTATGACATTTCCCTAATCTTTATTAGGGCCCATTACAGCTGATTTGGAACAGAATGTAAAATTGCTTTTGCCAACATTACTTTTGGGAAGGGCAGAAACCTGTAAAACTATAATAGTCTGTAATACTAATGGCCCAGTGAGTTGACTTCACTTGGGTTCCCTAGGTATTGACAGAAATTATCCTTTGACTAGTCTCCCCTCCTTATTACATCAATATTTGCCAGTTGGGTGCTAACCTGTGGCCTTCCAGATTTCCTGGACTACATTTCCCATCATCCCTTGACCACTAGCCATGATGGCTGCGGAGTTGTTGAGAGATGGAACCCAGCAATGTTTGGAGGGCCACTGGCTCCCCATCCCTGCTTTATAAAGTCAGCTGGAAAATACTGGGAGGAATAAGGAAGGAAGGAAGGAATAAATAAATAAATAAATACCTGGGCAGTCCATGCAAATTCAAGCCAGAAAGACTACAGGAAGTTTGCACAAAGATGCTGGTGGATTTAACAGTACCACTGACTATTATATTTGCTAGCCCAGTGAAGGCAATAAACCCCACTGCTTTTAATGAAGATGGATTGCAACCCAGAATACTTACTGAGTTTAAAAGCCAGTTTAGTTTAGTCCAGCAACTGCTGTGTTTGAAACTCAGGGCACAGATGATGGGGAGAAGGAGGAGATATGAAGACCCTGGTGGAATTGTTGGCACCAGTTATAAACATATTTATTCACTCACTGAGGCTTTCAGCTAAATGGTTATTGTTGGAGATGAGCCCTGCCCTTGCTGAACATGCTGCTGTTGTTCTTTTAAGGTTATATTCATTTTATATATAATGAGGTTTTATTATGTTTTGTGAGTTATGCTATGCCCCACTCTTGGATTGGATTTAATGAAGAGTGGACTAGCAGAACCTCAAATAAATAAAATGAAAGAGTTAATCTAGCCTAATAGAACATTAACAGTTCATAAGGAGTAATGTGCACCAGCTAGATATCTGTGATCAATGCACAGAATTTAGGATAGTGTCAAGGTGAATTTTTGTTTTTCCCTGTGTATAATGGGAGGAATTTTAGCTTCTTAGCACAGCTAAAGATTCTTGACTTACATGGAAATGATTGCGCTGGGGCAGCAGGACCGTTCTATAAATACCTTGGATTTATATCTTGAGCCACCTTGTGATGTTTTCATCCATTCTGTAATATTTGATGCTACTGTCCCTACAGAAATGTAGGAGGCGTTTTCCCCCTGCTTAGCAATATCAGCTTTCATCATCATATAAATAGGCATTTTGTCTGTATGTCTAAAGCGCAGGGCTGGATTAGCCATGATTCCAAGTGCGCTGCAGTCTAGTCCTGTCTAATGCCACAAGGAAGCAGTCTGCATAGTCTCAACTATACAAGGGGCTTAATTGGAGCCCTGGGTGAGGAGCAGGATATACATATACTGATGCTTTCATCATTACATTACACTACAGCACTGTTCTTCTTTTGGAAGGATTTTTTCCTTATTGCCAGACTGTTCATTGGATGTACAGATGGACAGATTATTATTATTATTATTATTATTATTATTTATTCCCCCGCCCATCTGGCTAGGTTTCACCAGCCACTTTGGGTGGCTCCCAACAGGATATTAAAAACACGATAAAACATCACACATTAAAAACTTCCCTAAACAGGGCTGCCTTCAGATGTCTTCTAAAAGTCAGATAGTTGTCTATTTCCTTGACATCTGATGGGAGGGCACCACTACCGAGAAGGCCCTCTGCCCGGTTCCCTGTAACCTCACTTCTTGCAGTGAGGGAACCACCAGAAGGCCCTCGGAGCTGGACCTCAGTGTCCAGGCTGAATGATGGGGATGGAGATGCTCCTTCAGGTATACTTCAGGTTTAAAGATTCATTTGAAGGTCTGCTCATACATGCAGAAGGACCATAGTTCAATGGTAGGGCATCTGCTTTGCATGCACCAAGCCCCAGGTTCAATCCCCAGCATCTCCAGTTCAGGCTGGGTATGTTCCCTGCCTGAAACCCCAGAGAGCTACTGCCAGTACGATTAGATAATTCTGAGCCAGATGGGCCAAGGTGTTATGATGTATGGCGTACTCTGTACATCAGTTGCATGCCCCTGTCAACTCTATTCCAACCTTCAGTTTAATGGGTGGAAGTCAATTAGTAGTGCCATTAAAGAAGGACAATAGAGCAGAGGTCCAGGGCCCCAGCACAGCAGAACTGGCTTAATAAATTTTAAAGCAAGGCTGCAGTCTCCCCACTTACATAGGGGTTACATCAGGCTTCGCCAACCTCAGCCCTCCAGATGTTTTTGGCCTACAACTCCCATGATCCCTAGCTAGCAGGACCAGTGGTCAGGAATGATGGGAATTGTTGTCTCAAAACATCTGGAGGGCCGAGGTTGAGGAAGCCTGGGTTACATTCTGGGCCCTCATGCACGTAAGTGAAATTGCACCCTCTAAACTCCCTTTGGGACACGGGTGGTGCTGTGGGTTAAACCACAGAGCCTAGGACTTGCCAATCAGAAGGTCAGCGGTTTGAATCCCTGCGACGGGTGAGCTCCCGTTGCTCGGTCCCTGCTCCTACCAACCTAGCAGTTCAAAAGCACGTCAAAGTGCAAGTAGATAAATAGGTACCGCTCCAGCGGGAAGGTAAACAGCGTTTCTGTGCGCTGCTCTGATTTCACCAGAAGCGGCTTAGTCCTGCTGGCCACATGACCTGGAAGCTGTACGCTGGCTCCCTCTGCCAATAGAGCGAGATGAGCGCCGCAACCCCAGAGTCGGACACGACTGGACCTAATGGTCAGGGGTCCCTTTACCTTTAAACTCCCTTTAAATGCCCTCTCTGCCTCTCTTTCTTGAATCCATACCAAAAATACCTTATCGGAAAATATCCACAACTAGAATTGAAGCTCTGGGGTCGGCTGGAGATTGGGGGATGCTCAGGGAAGCAGCCGCTGTTTCTGAGCTACCCTGCAAATCTGCTGTCAGGTGGAGAGGCTGAGCAGCGTAAACAAAGTCCTGCTGCACCTCAGGTCTCCACCAATGTCCTCTTCAGGCTCTGGGGTGTCCCTACGAGCCACAAGGACTCTCCAGCAACCTCACACCATTTCTGGGTTTGAGTTTTTCAATTATTTCCCAGTGCCGCACATATATGCAGTCAAGCACAAGTCGATCACGTATAAGGCGGGTGAGAATGCCTGTATAGACTTAGTAGTGTGAGTAAATCCCATTGAGATCAATGCGGCTTACATCTGAGTAGTCATAAGTATGGGTTGCTCTGTAACTTTCTAATAATGAGAGCTTTGGAACACCTGGCAATATATCGCTTCTCAGCTTCCTGGCTAGATTTTACTCTGCTTCTGTCATTTAAAATCCCAGCGCTGAAGAGGTCACTGGGCATTTGATCATTAAAGTTAGGAAATGTTAATTACTCCCTCTCAAAACCACATGACCTTTCAGAGGTACTCCCAGTGATGGGTGCTGAGCAAAGGCTTGGAATAATGAGAAACCGTGCCAGTCCCAAGAGACCAGCAGCTCAGCAATTTGAGCTACACAGCCGTCTCACAATCACACTCTCTTTATTGCGCAAAGCACACATCCGTACTCCAGACAAATAAATAAATAGAATACTCTGGCCCAATAAACAGATGAGGAAATAAGAACTCACCCACAATAAATTGTATTACAATTTATTTATTTAGATACTGCGATGTCAACCCTTCTAGTGCCTATGTGCTTCTAACAATTTAACATCACGATCTCATATAAGTGCCATCAGAATCAATTGAAATTCCAACAATAAATATATTTGAAAATATAGCAAAAGTGGTGACCCACACAAAACGGCTATCTAATAAATAATATTAAAACCAGTTCAACAAACATTCTTGTAAGGAAAAAAAAATATGTGTCAGCAACTCTTTCCGAGGAGAGACATTCTGACACTGAACTAAGAACTCTTTTCTTTGTTTACAAGTGGTTTGGAAAATCCCAGGCAAAGGACTGTACAATGCAAAACAACAAATGCTTATCTGTAAATCTGAGACTGTCCCTGGAAAATAGGGACATTTGGAGGTTCTTGGGAGGAATTGCTTGGGTTGTTTTTGTTTTCGTTACGTTTTGTACAAATTTCATATGGGAAAATGTTTGAGGGATGGGATTCTGCCAGTCAGTGGAGATCTGATCAGGGACGTATATTTGACTTTTATTACAATTATTTATATCCTGACTTTTCATGATACAATTCCTTCTAAGGTGGTTTACATGTAGCTCTAAATTACAAATCTTAAATATACAATAAACAATATTCACATTTTAAAAGTCACCAGGATCCTTTCCACAAAGCAGCTGATGACAGTTCATCCTGGGGGCAGGGAAAGTCCAGCCTGGATATAAGCTGAATATGGCTTACATTTAGTAATTAAAAACTAACATGTTAATATTACATACTGTACAAATATCTGAAAAGTTTGTCCAGTACGTAAAAGTAATTGAACTGAAATATTTGTTTAGGAGAGAACAGCGATAAAGTTCAGATCTCTTAATGCAGTTTAAATGTTATATTTCAAGAAACCCAAAGCTTCATTTGGAAGTTATTTTGCCTGGCATACTTGTAAATATCTTAAGAAAACTCAGCTCAGTAGCACATATCATTATTTGGATTTTAAGAAGAAGTGAAAGCACTAAAAACAGTTATTGAGCAGTCATCCTGATTTGTATGTCCCAGTGGAAATATTGTGAAAACGGGATAAACTGGGAGTGTAGCCATGCTCAAACATTCCATTCACACAGTGGCCAACCAGATGCATATGGGAAGTCCACAATTAGGACAGCAGGAATTCTTCCACTCCTGTTCCCCTGGCTGTTCAGGTGCAGTCTGTCTCTGATACTGGAAATAGCATAATAGCCATGAATCTCCTTTCAGAGTTGTCTGAGTGGATGGCTATCACTCCAGTCCTGTGTTTGTGAATTCCATGGTTTAATCCCGTGTTGTGGGAAGAGCGACTTCCTTTTGTCTGTGCTGAATCTCCCATAATTTACCTTCCTTGGAGGATCCCTGGTTCTACTATTAGGAGAGTTGGAGAAAAACTGATGAGCCCAATGGGGGACTTTGTCGTCTACCTTAGCTAAAAGCTGGAATGAAAATATTGCGATAAATAAACTGGATTGTGTACTACCGCCCAACACACAACCTAAAGCAGGTCGCTCCAGTGGCATAATCATGTTCACTGTGTCTTTCTTTTCTTTTCTTTTCTTTTCTTTTCTTTTCTTAAGAAATTGCTATTTGTTAAAAGAGAAAGATGGAGTCTGCAACTCAGGCAAAGAAAGAGAAGCATAGGAAAGTGATAGGCAGAAAGGGCACAAGAAGAGAAGAAAATTAAAAGTGAATCCCATGTTCCCTGTTTAGGGAAGTTTTTAATGTTTGGTGTATTTTTAATATTTTGTTGGAAGCTGCCCAGAGTGGCTGGGGAAACCCAGCCAGATGGGCAAGGGTGTGAATAATAAATTATTATTATTATTACTATTGCAGTTACTATTATTACTGAAAAGATGGAAGTGTTCTGCTGTATAACATAGCCTGTTTTGCAGCTGTTTTGCTCTTGACTTTTTACACCTAGGGAAGTAAAAAAAGCAAAGCAGTCTCCGTGCGCATGGGGAAAAGGGACACATTTTGTACTTCCTCTAATTTTCCACCTGCGCATCTAATCTGAAGGCAGTGTGGGGGCGGGGAGCATGAAGTCAGTGTCAGCAGTGTCAGTGCAAAGGGGACAGGTTGCATGAAATCAGCAAAGTGCAGGTTGTTCGTAAATGCGATGCTCTTGGGTTTTCCTTTAAAGCCAAAGGGGTCGATTTCGGCTAAACTCGCCGACTAAACTGCGTTTAGGGGGCTCCGGAAAAGGGCTGCATCTCGCAGGAGTTGGGTAGGAACACTGGAAAACTCCGGTCAGGGATTTTTCCACAGCAACTTGGCATTAAGTATGCGTTTTCTAAAAGAGAGAGAGAGAGAGAGAAAGAGCAGGAGAGAGCAAGTGAGAGTGTGAAATTCGTCATGGTTCAGAATTAATCCCAGCAGCTTGAAATAGAAGAGTCATCATCTGTGCTCATGGTGAGGTTGCTCCCCACTGGAAAATGATACAGCAAGCTAAAAATTCCACTTCTCTGCCAGCTTTGTTGAAGGCAGCTTGCTAATGTTTTTCTCAAGTTGTTAATTACTCAGATTCGTGTTACAGAGAGAGAGAGGAATAAGTCGTCTCTGGGAGAGAGAGAAAAGATGAATATTAAACCCCATGCTCAATTCTGGCTCCAGGGTGCTGGGGCTCTTGTCTCCCCACTGCGACGCTAGAATTGGGCTGCCTCTACTCTGTCACATGCAAGATATTAGGTCCCAAAGGATCTAATATTACAACACTGGAATGAAGCATTTAAGCATAGTCTGCATTACTGATCGGGGCCAGGAATTTCGGGTGCTGCCTCCTCCTCGCTCTCTGTTTCTCTTACCTTTGACTAGAAGCGGAGGCAGGAGGAGAGATTTCATTTAAAGGTGAACCTACCCAAATTGCAATTTGCAAAACAACAGACAAACTGAAACACAGTAGTCATCCTTTGAAATCGGCAAGTCTCCAAAGATTGCAATGCAGTTCTTCTCCAGCCAAGTAACGTGCTCAAAAATGCATATACTAGGGGGAAGTATGCATATATGAGTGAAAATAGCTTACCAAGTTGTGTTACACTAGGGGAAATTGCTTTACTATATAGTGCAGAATTACGTACAAGCAGGTATATGTTAGGAGAAATTTGCACTGAATGGCTGATGAGGACTTTTGAAAAGAAATGCAGTCTGATGTTGAAATGTGGAGAACTGGACTTCAGACTGGAAAAGTGAGAACCTGAGAAACCCAAATGGACAGATTGGTCCGTTCCTACCTTTGACACACGATATCTGGTGTGATTTGCATCGTCGTGATTGCTCTGTTCCTTGGTATTTTG